GGGAACAGCACCGGTGGGGGCAGCGATACCGGCAGAAGGCTTGACGAGAGTAGCGAAGGTGGTGGGGGCCTCGGGGGCAGCGCTGGGGATGGTAGCGTTCATCGAGGGGCGGGCAGGAGCGAGGGTAGGGAGAGCGGCGGCGCTGGTCTCGGCAACGACGACAGAAGAGGCGGCGGCGGCGGGAGAAGAGACAGGGACGGTCGAGTTAGCAGCAGGAGCAGATGGCTTAGCACCACCGGCACCACCGCAGGAAGCAACGGCGCCACCAGGAGCCTTGTACGTGGTCGCGTCGAAGCCGTTGTAGATGTCGGGGATGTAGATATTCTTGTCCTCAGCCTTGTAGGCGCCGGGGAGCTCAATGGTAGGTGTGCATGAGCCCTCGCTGCCGGTACCAGTGATCTTGAGCTGCATGCAGCCAATGTAGAACTGAGCACCGCCGACGGTCTGGGCGCTGTGAAGTGCCAGCATCTCCGAACGGAGCAAGTACTCGCCGCTGGCAAGACCGGTGGGGAGAGCGAACTCGTGGGTCATGTTGTTCGCCCCCATGATCTCGTTGGCCCACTTGCCGTCGACTTGGTCGAGCTCGTCAATCTTGAACCATCCGGCACCGATACCGGTAGCCTGGGCAGCATCGTCGACGGGTCCGTAGAGCATGTGGGTGATAGGACCTGGGTGGCCGGACTGGTCCCATTGGACCTTGATTGTGTCACCCTCAGCGGCAGCAACGGTCTCGACACCGGAGGGGACCTTGGAGCCGCCGACGTTGCAAACGATGTCGTCGCTGGTTACGTCGGTGACGGGGCTGTTGGAAGGTGGCATCCGGATGCCGACCTGGTAACCGGGGGTGACATCGTTGACCCAGAGCTGGTGAAGGTTCTGGTGAGCCGAGACGGCGGAGAGGAGAGCGCTGGTGAAAACGGCCTTGGTGAACATCTTGAAGTTTCAAAGTTGTGTCGTCGGTGTGATATGTACAGTGACTTGGTATGCAAAGATATGCTAGTGATGCCTGATCACGAAATGAATGTAGTGTAAAGAATGAAGTTGGCAAAAACCGGAACGAGTGTTGTGCAAGAAAGGACTGGCCTGGTGGAATGATGAGTTGGAGAAATCAGGACGACGGCAGCTTTTGTACTCACCTCACGCAGATCTATTCCCTGTCTTAGGCGCCTGGCATGAGATTAATAGTCCCGGAGATCAGGACAAACCGCCTGGAATCCTCCATGACACCCGTTCACGCTATCCCAGCCACTGGCAACGGGAACGACATCGCCTTGACAGATGCCAAGAGGCGACACGCCAGCGGTACATCTAGATGAAGTGCTAGTCTGCCCTTTTTGGGCGTCGTCCGCGATGCTTGTTTATGCGACAGGCACCATCCGAGATTGGGTGGGCATGGTGGTGGAGATGCTGGGAAGCGAGCGTTTCCAGTCTCGCTACTTTGGGTTAGCGAATCCGTTTCAACTGTGCAGCCGCATGTTTCAAAACACTGCGAGAGCGGTTCGCTGGGAACACGATCCTGCAGCGAGTCGCGATGAACATGAAAACTTCGGTGTTCTTGTTGCCGAAGCTTGTAGACGCAGCTGACGGATTGTGTGATATCCGGAGAAATTTCACAAGACTGCGTTGATGCACTAGTCGGTGGTTTAAAAGAAAAGAGTAATATGTGCTTGAGAATGCGTATGATTCATGTGAACGATTTTCATTGCAAAAGCAATCTACGGTTCACTGCCTTTGATGAGGCTGCACTTCATGACGCGCTGCTCCGGCGCCTGCAGTGGGGCAGCACCTCAGTCGGAGAAAATGTCTTCCTCATGGGGCTCGTCTTTTGAAGATGAAACCTGTAGGCGCTGGTACGGTACGTCCTTCAAGCACCGTAGAAAGACCGTCCATTTCCTTGCCCATGTCAGGCATTGGTTCGGATATCGGTGCCGTTGGGCTTGGAGTATTTGCAGTGGAAGTAACAGTGTCTGTGGGCAATGCGAGAGTTCTAGTAGAGACAGAGACGCTCCCTTGAAGCACTTCTCCATTGACGTAGATATGAATCCCCTGCACTGTAGAAACTGGCAATGTCGGATGGATGATGGAGAGAAACCGTGCGCCAGCTAAGATCGAAGTAAACCACAGCGTTATGAGGAAGAAAATGGCGAAAAGTACCCACGGCACAAGGATGCATTTTCGCGGCATTCGACTCCGTGCAGGCAGTGAGGTTGGGAAACCCGGTCCTAAAGACTGCGCAAAGTGGGGGTGGTTTGTGTCCTGGTAGTCGGGCTTGACCTGAGCTTCCTCCATCTCCTTTGAAGCTGCTTTGCTGTAACGCGGGATCGAAGAAGGCGACTCATGCGTGGCGTAATGGTAGGGGTTGTACGAGGCGCCACCTTTTGGTGCTGAACCAAAAGTGGCGTTTTGGGGCGTATGAGGAGCGGTATACGAAAGGAACGTGGAGCTGTATGTTGGAGCTGGTGAAGGCAGGCTCCCCAGTTCGATGGAAGCCACATCTAATGACGTTTTTCGGTTTTGGGCGTCCATGGTGGAGGCGAATATTTGGAAGATCTGTAAGTGCAACAAAAGAGGACCGGCCTTTTAGTGATTGTAACAATATAACAATGCGGAGCTTGACTGCTGCAGCAATTCAAGTGCGGACAATGCAGATAAAGGCACTGCATCTGATGAACAGCGTGGCGTCCGCAAACAATGATCTATTGCAATTAGCCTACGGAAAGAGTCATTAGCAAACGATTCATCGCTTTCGTGCGCCTATGTATCGTTTCCACGGCTGAATAACACATGTCGACGAATGCAGTGGTGGTGAGAAGAAGCCTGGGGACGACGGGTTTGGAAGGCGCGGCGTGCTGACGAACGATTGGCGTACCGGCGCTTTCCCTCGGATGCAGGGGCTAGCCTTGGGGTATCATACTGGCCGCACCGAGTAGTCTCAACCACAGATGAAGTCAGTAGTTGAGCATGACTATTGTAGTTTTGGTTGTTGGCTGGTAAAATGTCCGATCATGATTGTTTGCACAAGATGTACGTGCAGAGCATGCCTTCACTAGGCGTGCTCGAGGGTATCGTACCACAACTCCAAAACTCCGAGCGCAATGACCATTCAGGCATGTCCATACATAATTCCCCGAGTATATTCAGGCTTTCGCCTTGCCCTTGCCAGTACCAGCAGGCCTACCTCGCTTCTTCCCTGCCGCGGCTGGCTGTGCGCGAGCAACTGGCTGCCCGTCTGCCTTTCTACCCTCTGCAGCTCTGATGTCCTCAAGCTCCTTCTCCAGCAAGCCTTGCAGTTGTTCATTTCGTCTCCCAAGCAGCAGTACGTCGTCTGTGTTAATTGTATTACGACCGGCGTGTTTGGAGAAGACTTCGAGGTCGCGGGCTGTGTTTGCTGTGATGGTGTAAGCACCCTGTAGTCTAAGCAGTATCTGAGGGCTCGAGGTAGATCGTACCGATTTGGGTATAAACAAGCTCAGTAAGCGCACCGATGAACTGAGGTGTTGCATTCAGGTCGTTCTCCAACGTCTTCTCGTCAACGAACTGGCCGATTGAGTACCAGAGGGCCGACTTGAGCCGCTGTGCAGATTGTCAGCTCGACCTTATCATCAATTGAAACAATGAGTTCTCTACCTCTTCGCGCTCTGCTTTGGCATCATCGTTTGACGCCATATCGCCTCGTGGTTGAACTTCAATCGCGTGTAATTGCCGGCCAGACGAGTGACGCGACGCGCCTAACGCGGGCCAATAGCGGGGCCTCGGTGATGACCGGGGAGAAAGTCACCGCCCATGTTCTGCCACCTGGGGGTCCACGCTTGAGTGATTTATTGTTATTGCGCGCAATTACTTCCTCGTCAACATCGCCTTTCACGCACAATTCCACACGCATCGGTCTATCGACAAAGTCACCGAACACTTCTCTCGCGTCACCCTCCAACGAAGCCGTAATCGCACCCGGACGTCGCTCCTCCACACTACTGCGCAACAAAACTACAATCGCGAATACAAACATCACATAGCCAAGATGGACTACGTACTTGACAACGTGGTCGAGTGGAAGGACCGTCTGGTCAACAACTCGATCAAGTCTTTCGAAGAGATGACCGCCCAGCGCTGGGTTCGCATCATCGCTATCGTGGGCGCATACCTCCTCATCCGACCATACCTGCTCAACGCGGCCGCAAAGAAACAGAAGCAACAATTAGAGAAGGAGGCTGAAGACCTTGGCTTGGGGAAGACAGATGCGTTAGACGCCAACGACTTCAGAGGCAAGGGCGTCAGGGTGAAAAAGGGCGAAGCGAAGAAGAAGGAGTAGGTGCACGCATAGGAAGATGGACGGGCATGGCAATGGGGGTGGTAATACTGTGAAATCAGGGACGAGGATGATCTTGATGGGAACAAGGAGCATAGACGGCTTGAGGGACATGGATATGGGCTGCATACCAACGGCGTTTTGGCATTCGGACTTGGCCAACATGCGGACCTGGAGTGTCTTTCTGGAACACTCCTAGCACGACGACTGCAATGCCTGCGATGACGCGCCTACTGAGAACGACACAACAATACAATCGAGAAGAAATCGACGAGCTAAGCTCTGGGAAGTCCACTTCTGCTTCAATATCGTAATTCTAATAAGATCAACTCTACCCCTTTCTCAATTCTTCAGCGCTCCCGATTCCCTTACTCCGCAGATCGAGCATCGGTGTGTTTATCCTGAATGCTGGCTAATGGACCTCGGTCTCGTTCGCATTTGCACTTCCATCCATGACAGAACCCCGTTCGTTCATTGCATGCTCACGCCACATCATCTTCACACATTCACCGCGTTTGCTAGCCCAGCACTCCATTCCATAACCCAAACCACACTCCCAGCGGCGGCGTCCGCTTCTGCCACTTCATACCATGATCATCACATTCACAACCCTTCCGCTTCACATGCTTTCCCTTCATAACTCAACTTACTCCCTTCCAGCTATGTATCCGGACGCGCAACCTGAGCACCACCAATGCCTGACGACGACGCGTACCGCAAGCAAGTTCAAGGAAAAGTCCAAGACCTGGTCTCTGAACGTCACGACAAAAGTGGTGCAAAACTGGTCATCGAAGCTGTGGTTGAGGGTGTGAAGTTGTATCGAAGCTACAAAGAAGAGAAGGCAGCAGAAGAGAAGGGGAAGGGGAAAGAAGAAGGGAAGCACAGGAGACATAGGAAGGGAGGCGGTATGGACGAAAGTGGGAAGGATGGGCATAGGAGGCACCGTAGGCATAGGCGCGGTGATGAACATGGTCATGAATCAAGTGGCAGGCATCGACACCGTCGTCACCGTTCTAGATCAAGGGATGAAGAGCGTGGAAGACGCCGTCACAGCTCACGGGATGGACGCTCCAGATCTCACCGACGCGACCGGGGCAGAGATATTCGCGACCCAGTCACCGAGCCCCCTCACAACGATGACTCTGAGTATCACATGACCGGTGGTGCAGGACCAGCAGATACTTTGCAAGATGGCCATAGGAGGGCAGACGCTCCATCGCCTGGAGCCGGAGATCGGCCAGGAAGTGGCGGCAGCGGTTATCAAACATCATGGGAAGATTTGGCTCCTGAGCCTCGTCCCCGATCGCGATCTCGTGGACGCAAGGAAGCACACCATACAGAACGTAAAAGATCTCGTACACCCCATCGATCTCATCGTCGAAAGTCTGGCGGGCACCGGAGCTCACATCAGCGTGACCGCTCACGTACCAAACAACCGGATCATCGTCCAGGTCGCATAGGCGCATCGAAATCTCCAACAAGGCAGCAGAAAGGACCGGATGGCACACCGTTCGGTAGCTTACCCGAGTACAAAAGCAAAGGCGGCATAGGCATGGGTCTCGGGGATCATATCATGGCTACCTATAGGCACATCAAAGCCGAGCATGAAGCAGGCCATCGGACCAAAGGCGCATTGGAGAACGCCATTGACGGGATGAGAAAGAAGAAGACGGATGCGAAGGATTACAGTGACAGACTCCGAGATGGCGAAAGGAAAGAGAGGGAGAATATGAAGACAGATGCGAAGGAATATAATCACAGATCAAGGGAAGGCGCAAGGAGAGAGAGGGAGAAGATACGAAAGAGCGAACCAGAGCGTGTCAGATGGGCCGAACGGAAGCCTGAAAAGACGCGGGGCGATGAATTGAAACAAAAGGTTGCTGAAAAGGAAGCAAAGGAACGCCATCGTCATGAACAAGACGAGCGCCGCCGTGAAAACGAGAAACGATTTGAACACGAATATCGTGAGAAACGACGACAAGAGGAAGACAGGAAGAAGAACCGTAGCTCGCCGATTCCTGAGATTCGAGTTGAGCCCCCTACGGCTAGTGGGACTCCCCGCCGTGAACAAGACGAGCTTCGTGAGAGACAAAGGCAAGATGAGAAGCGAAAGCAAACCGAGGAACAAAGGCAGGAGGAGAAGTACTGGCAGGATGAGAAGTACTGGCAGGATGAGCAGCGGAGGCAGGATGAGAAGCGGAGGCAGGATGAGAAGCGGAGGCAGGATGAGAAGCGGAGGCAGGATGAGAAGCGGAGGCAAGACGAGAAGCGAAGGCAGGATGAGGAACGAAGGCAAGCCGAGAAGCGAAGGCAAGAGGAAGACAGGAAGAAGAACCGTAGCTCGTTGGTTCCCGAGGTTCGTGTCCAGCCTCCTGCATCTAGTGGGACTCACATTCTCCAGTCAACTCCGGTGGCTCGCAATTCTCAGGCCCCTACTGCTCCGAAATATCCTCCTCCACCGGCTCCAAGACAGCCGAGCAGACCTATCCGGCGCAATACTCCTCCCAATCGTACAGCCCCAATTGCTCCAGTAGCGCACGACTGGTATGCGCAACCTCCTGCTGAGGAAGAGCAAGACTGGTATGTACCACCGGCCCAGCCTCCGGCGTCTGAACATGGTGCAGCAGCAGGCTTCTACGACCACGCTCCAGGTTCGCCGATGCCAGGGAGCTATGGAAATTATGGAGACCATGATTATCTGGAGCATGGAGGGGATGATGAACAGCTCGCTCATGATCAAGTGCCGTACCTGGGCACACGCCCTTCCCCTGTTATGGCAGCTCAATATGCTGAGAGCGTCCCTTCGCCTATCATGGCTGCACAGTATCCAGAGCGCGTTCCTTCTCCAACTATTGTCGCTCAATACCCAGATACGCCTCCTTCTGCTATTATACCTTCATACGCAGATACACCTCCTTCTTCGGATGTATCAGAGGGTGCTTCAGGGTCGTCGTCACCAATTATGTCGCATGCAATACGCGCTCCTTTGCCACCAAATCGTTTCTCACCCGAATTCTTACAAAGCATACCGATGCCAGCTCCGCAGCAAGCGGCATCTCTCCCAATCCCACCACCGCCACCACCGCCCCCTCCTCCAGTTCCACCTCCACCTCCGCCTCCACCAGCAGCAGCAAGACCACCTCCACCTGGGTCCCCTCCACCACCCTCAGCAGGACCACCCAATATGGCCGCCATTTTTGGCGATATCCTTGGCCCACGCAAACTACGTAGTGTGGCAGCTGAAGAGAAGAATGACAGTAGTGACCCGAGAGCGGGTAAGGTATTGTACGAAGAAACAGCACACAGTCGCGAGGTAGAAGAGCACGAGCGAGCTCAAGTCAGGGACGCTGGTAACCGTCTGCCAGTGTCAGGAGCTAGTGGATGGAGTACCGCTTACTCCGCAAAAGAAGAAGCCGATGATCGACCAGAGCCGAACAGGGCGTTCAGAGAGGAACTAGCGAGGAGATTGGGCCAAGGTATTGACACTTCTACGACACGGACTCCAAAAGGTCCTGGTGATAGCTTACTAACAGCAGGCTCTAGGACTTCGATGAGTGCCAATGTGTCGCGGAAGCTGCAGGATGAGAGTACGTTGACAGAACTCTAGAGCTAGATAGGGTTGTACTGATGTGCCAATAGAAGCTCCTTTTCAACGGCTTTCGATATCAGAAAGTGGGGAGGATCTCATCTTTACTTTATCGGCACACATTGCGCAGCCAGACTGGAGCTTTGATGGGCCTACTAGGAAATGATGATGACGGGATGGAACGAGATGAGGTGAGATGGAATACTGGGAATGGATATCCGGGTAGGCAGGCCTGTGTGAGAGACAGTTGATGTATTCTTGTCCAAATAGATCCTCGCGTCATAGGTCATTCGTTCCACTTTTGTCGCGAATGTGTGCATCGTAACGCGTCCGGTTGGTGAAGAGTGAACGCGTACGCACCAGGTCCGTGATGGTGAAGGCTGTTGACGAACGGTTGGCCCAGGCTTCCCAATTTCGCGGCAGAGCTCTGGACTGCCAAGCTCGAGCAGAAGAGCCGGGTTATTAGTCCTCATCCCTATTCCTCATATTATTAGCTATCTCGACCTGGGAACTTCCTTGCGATCTTCGCGCGACAATTGCATCTACATTTCTCCCGCTCCTTCACGATTGTTAGTGGTTGCCTCTGACGTTGAGCTGCATCCCCCACATTACTTCAACGTCGCTCCAATTGGACCCTGTGGCATCATCAGGCAGAAGAGCGCAAGCATACCGCCCGCAGCTTTCGCAGTTCAACACCACACCTCCCCCCACACACAATCAACATGCGCTTCTCATCAGGCCTCGTTCTCGCTCTCCCGGCGCTCGCTGTCGCCGAGGAGCAGGTTCCTCTCCTTGACAAGGTGAAGGGCTTCTTCAACAAGGCGACGGCTGCCGTGTCCGCATCCATCCCCTCCATGCCGTCGGCGCCAGTCGACACGGCAACGAGCAAGGTGGCCTCCAACGCAGCTGCCGCCATCCAGTACCCAATTACCCTGGAGAACTGGAAAGAGACGCTTACTGTTGACGCTACCGCCAGCCCTCCTACCACACAGGACTGGCTCATCTTCACCACCGGCGGCAACACCACCTGCTTTGGCCTGTGTGGCAACGCAACCAAGGCATGGAACGTACGTATAGCATGCGAACATGCAGATGACCGACGCTAACATCAACCAGGCTTCTCTCCCTATCATGGCCGCGAAGCCTGATGCGCCCAAGTTTGCGTACCTTGACTGCGAAACCGAGCCTCTCCTCTGCAACGCATGGTCTGTTGGCGCACCGGCGCTCTACTACTTCCAGGTCCCCAAGCCCATGGCTGACCAGTCCGCGCCCGTCCCCGTCGTTCGCTACAAGCCCTTGAACCGCACCAGCACCACCACCGAGACCTTCAAGAAGCTCATCGTTGACAACGAGATTGAGCAGGTCACCCCATACGAGGGTCCTTTCCACCCCTTCAACGGTGCTCTCCAGCAGTACAACCTTGCCATTCCCTACGCATACGTCACCTGGGGATTCTCCAAGATGCCCTCGTGGATGCCCATGATCATCATCTCCTTCCTCAGCAGGTCGTTCATGTAAGCCGAATTACTCTGAGATGAAATACACATACTAATCCCAATTACAGGAGCAAGCGCATGGCGGGACCAACTCCCGCAGAGACGCGTGCCGCCGCCGCACAACCTGCTCGGTAAACACCTACACTCCTGCTCCTGTGGACTAGAGTCGCACAACAGGGACGTGACAAGCATTGTGCGCGATCTCAGATAATACCCAACAGAGCGATGCGAATAAAGTCTTGGAATTGGACATGTTCTGGACTGGCTCGTGGAAGTACTCGGCAAATGGGGATGGAGATTTGGACATGTTTAGTGGAAGAATAATGTAGCTCAGATACCTGGGAAGGCGTTCAATCATTGCAATGCACTTATACTACTATCTATATAGAACGTTCTTTTTTGAGTGAACAGTTGGTGCATCTCATCTGCAGGGCTGCCAAGACACGATCGCGCTACGGGCGATGCCCGAGAATCTCTCGAACTCCGCAACCCCAGTCCAATATCACATCACAGCAACCATGGTGCACATATTGAAGCGCATGCGCAAGCTACGCGAGGCAAGTAGCTAATCTCCGAGAGCATGTCTACTCGTTCGGCAAGACTAACAAGCACCACAGCACGTACGTAAGATCCACCTCCGCAGACACCTCCGAAAACGTCGAAGCCTACAATCGCACCCGACCTGCTCGAGATACCGGAGATGTAACAATGCTGACAACTATGCCTATGACAGTTATTATGGATAAGATGTGGACCAGGCGCGCTCATACTGCCCAAAGAGGTGTCGAAGATTAGCATGGAATTCAACACAAAACTCTACGGAGGACATAGAGGGGCAAGGTACGTTGGCATTGCTCCGTTATAAGTCTAGAGGGGGGCAAAGACTATGAGGCCAACTCAGACGCCATGTTTGAGAGCTGGCAATTGTACGCAATGGCAAGATCGAGCGCTTACGCTACGAACAGGAAATTCTGGCGCAATATGCTGCCCCGGATGAAATACCGTAATCCATCCATCCCAATGGAAGTCGCGCGACACAACGACCCCGACGGTCCCTCGCTCCTACACATCTTCACAGCAACCAAAACACAGCCATCGGCTGGCTCTACCAACTCTCCTACAACACAACAATCAGACTCTTCACCACCGTCCACCACACCAAACCCACGCAATACGCTCGTACCCGAGACCTCGAAACCCACGTTTTCGATTGACATGAGAGACCAGTCGGAGAGCGAGATCTTGGAGGCGCTGGTAGAGAAGATAGGCGCGGTGGAGATCAAACCGACGGAAGAGGAGTTGGCCGAGATGAAGGAGATTGAGGAGTTCAAGGAGAGGTCGGAGGCGGATAGAGTGCTAGTTAGGGAGAAGTTGATAAAGGAGCGAAGAGAGGCTGAGCTACTCAAGTTGGCGAGGGGTGAGGCACCGGCTGCCAACTAAGTGTGTGGTCTGGGAGAAGTCACGAAGGGTTGACGTAAGAAACACGAGGAGGCTATGTGGTCTTCTACCATCAATTGGACTGCAGTCTAGCGGCTTCAGGCCGAGGTATTGTAACATATGTATATTGTATGGCATATTCACGACGTCAATACGAGACCACGTGCCCAATGATTATGACATGTTGGTGCTCGTTGATGCATGGGGCAGCGGCTTCTGCGCAGAGGCCGGCTTTCACTCTCAAGTATGCGTCTGTGGATGTTTCGCACATCAAGCGCATTCACATGACTTCGCGCATTATGCAATTTCACTAAATCGCGTAAACGCGTCCGTCGCGCTTTTCGAGCGAGTCGCATGCAAAGTTATCAGGCTTCCGTTCAACCTGCGCAAAGCTGCGCAATCGCACAAGCATCACTCATGAAGATGGCATGTAGCCGACTGGGTTAGTCCCAAGCATCAGTGGCCAACGGCCTAGCAAAAGGGAAACGGAATCAGTCTGCCTGACAGACAACCATACACCGAGCTCGAACCGCGTGAACGGTGAGCTCAGGCTGCCGGAAGCTGCCAAAGTTGCTCTGCGCTGCCTGTCGTCCGAAGCGTTCTATTGAGGAAGAAGGCTCCATGATGGACGAACTGTCAACATCTCAACCATCACACGGCTCCCCGAAAGGACGTGGACAGGAGACGTTGACACAGGGCGTTGTGGTGAGAACTCGATGGGTGAGGGCGCGCAACTTTTTTTATGTCGCTCGGCTGAACGCCGGCGCGCTAGTGGGTAGCGGCTTGGCGGGAAATGTGTGGGCGGAGGTGCGATGTTGCCCGCAGGTCACGAGTAGGCACTCATCACCGAACTTCACCTTTGGGGAATATCAAGTGTGCTTTCACTCTTTGCGACCACCACTTCTGTACACTGCTCGAAAGTGTATTGAAGATCCCGAACTTCCGGCGCCGTCACAACCTTCCTTCCAGGACCATAAACCTCTGCGTTGCGACAGGACATCACGACCGCATCAGCCATGGCGGACCTATCCATCGATGAGGCGAACAAGATTCGTCTGTCTATGGGTCTCTCTGCTCTCCCCGGTGGAAGCACGCCTGCAGCACCCGCAGCCCCCGGCCTCGATTTCAAGGCGGCGCAAAATGGCGACGACTCGGACGAAGAGCCTGCGAGCACCATCGACACGCGCCAGGCCGCCGCTTCGGACAACTGGAAGAAGTTGGAAGAAGCGCGACTGGCCAAGATAAGACGTGAAGAACGCGCCGCGGCGATCAAGAAGGAGCGCGAAAAGGCGGCGCGCTTTGCAAAGCTTGAGGGCAAGGGGCTGGCGGACGAAGCAGACGTCGACGATGACCTGGCCTGGCTGAAGAGCAGCAAGAAGCGCCAGAAGAAGATCGCCAAGGAGGAGCAGATGCGCAAGGAGCTCGAAGAGCGCGAGCGTCAGGCACTCGAGGCCATGCAATATACCGACAAGGACCTTGCTGGTGTCAAAGTTGGACACGAGGTCGACCAGTTCGACGATGAAGATCAGATCCTTGTTCTCAAAGACACTGCAGTCGACGGGGAAGACGATGACGAGCTAGAGGCGGTTGAACTCAGAGAAAAGGAGCGACTACAAGAGCGACTCGATTCGAAGAAGCGAAAGCGCGCATACGACCCCAACGATATGGACGAGGGAGGCCAGAAGTCGATACTTGCACAGTACGACGAGGAGATTGAGGGCAAGAAGCGCAATGCGTTCACATTGGACGGGAAGGGCCGAACTGTTGAAGACGTGCAGGCTGAAGTCGCAGGTTCTTCAAGACCAAAGAAGGTCGCGATCAGTCTAGACATACTCAAAGAGGACGCGCCCACTAACGATTACATGGACGTGTCGGAAGTCAAGATGAAGAAGCCTAAGAAGAAGAAGGGCAAGAAATCCAAGCGAGAACGCGTCGAAGATGATGAGGAAATGCTTGCCATGCCTGCGGAAGACACTGCAGCTGGCGACGACATGGACATTGACGGTGGTGAATCCTCCGCACCACAACAGAAGAAGAAGAAGGTGTTCGACGAGTCGTTTGTGGATGACGACGACCTTCAAGCGAATCTTGCAGCACAGCGCCAAAAGGCCCTCAAGAAGCGCAAGAAGATGCGACCGGAAGATCTTGCACGGCAATTACGTGAAGACGCATCAACACCCCAGCCAGACGTTATGGAATCCACAGAAGATGGTGATGGCGGCCTTGTTATTGACGAAACAACCGAGTTCGTACAAAATCTAGGTGCTGCAGGCGATGCCGACGAGGAGGAAGCCCGCCGGAAGCGTAGAAAGTCCAGCCACATCTCGGAGGGCACGAAGTCCATGGGCGATATGCCCGTCGCTGATGAAGACGGCGATGTCGAAATGGGCCAATCCTACGCTGAAGCAGCCGAAGCAGAAGAGGCCCGAAACCGCAGCATCTCGCGCGCTCGCTCCACCGACATTACTGAGACAGGTCTCGAGGCAGAGAAGACTGTCGACCAAGGTATGGGTGCCACTCTCGCCCTGCTCAAGCAACGAGGTCTGGTCACAGAATCCGACGCCTCCGACAAGAACGCGATGTACCGCGACCGCCAAAAGTTCATTGCCGACAAGAACAAGGCCGAAGCTGACGCCGAGCGCCAACGCAAGATCGCCCGTGAACGCGAACGAGGTTCCGCCCGCTGGAACAACATGACGCCGCGCGAGCGCGAAGAATGGGCCCGCAAAAACAACACCAGCGCCGAGATGGTCGAGAGTCGCCGTCTCGCTGAGCTCTTTAACAAGGAGTACACGCCCAACATTGAGCTGAAGTATGTTGACGAACACGGTCGCCACATGAACCAGAAAGAAGCCTTCAAGCAGCTCAGTCACCAGTTCCACGGCAAGGGTAGTGGAAACACGAAGACGAAGAAGCAACTTGATAAGGTTGCTGCTGAGAAGAAGAAGATGGCTGAGAGTTCGCTTGAGGCTAGTAGGAGTGGTGGTGGTGGGTTGGGGAATGCGTTTGATGATCAGGCGAAAAAGAAGGGTACTGCTGGTGTTCGCCTGCAGTAGACCTTGGAGGCTCGGTTCCCAAATCCCCAGTCATATCGCCAACATCAAGAAGGGTCATTGGTGGCTAACGAACGGTTGTCCGGATGGTGCTGCCGGGAGTATGAAAGGTCAGTAAGCTCCTGAAGCTGTACATTAGAATGTTGTCATTAATGCGATTATTGGGAATAGAACTTCCACAGTCGGCTGTGATGATGGTATGCTATACATGTGCGTGCGCTCTGCTGACTGTAGGATACTCATTTACGCATCGTTGTCCGTTTGACAACTATGACTGGTATTTCATCATGTCATTCTCATCTTAGACTTGACCGTAAGTACATATGTTCCGCAATCGTGCAATGGTAAGCCTGTGCTTAATTCTGAGTATGTAACAATAGGCCTGTATCTTCATAGAAAATTTCTATGCAGCTCATTCCTTTCTGACTAACCCAAATAACCTCTCAAACGTTTTATTATTTCCTCCCCAACGTTTTTTTATCTTGTTCCTCGATGATTCGCTCTATCGTCTCAAAAAATGCACGATGCTTGACATGAATGGTGTAACCCGCTGGTAACCAAGATTGCAGATCATATAGTACTGACAGCAGTGCTTTTTTGTAATCTGGACTGATAAGAGACTCTTGCCAGAAGCAATCTCTGGTGTCTGAAGCCAGAAGGAGTAAGGCAAAGACTTTATCCCGGGGATCTGAAGCATGAAATCCATCCGTCAACGGGAGCAACTCGAACATCTCCATATCCAAGCTTTTCTGGTCCCAGGTAAAGAAATGATTCCACACGCTCCGGATGTTGAGATTCCGCGTAGCGGTCTTGTAGTCACGCTGTGCGACCCCTAATAGGTTTAAAGAAAGATCTAGCTGCTTCATCTCTTGCAAATGCAGAAAATCATTGCCAACTGCGAATTCAACTTTCCGGCCGCCGCCGTATCGCTTGGGCGCTAGAAGTACCTCTTGTATAACCCATATTCGGCTCCACCATGGTCTTTCAAAGAGCCTGTTGACACTCGCATAGATTGCATATTCGTATATGTTAGGTGAAAATTCGAGGCGCCGGTCTTCGTATGGGAGAGAACGTGCAAGTCGATTGAGTTCGTCGTCTTGTGCCATGTCGATCCACATTGAGTCCAGAGCCTCACGCGAACTCTCTTGTGTCGTATCTTCCAATTCAGCCTGAAATCGCTGGACATAGTGGTCATGGATGGGACGTATGTGTCTTGTCCATGCTCTCACGAAGAATCGACTATGCACGTCGTGCGGTCCCAGCCATACCAATACCGACTGAGCCGACGAGTATATCTTGCCCATCAATTGAACTTGATGCGTTTTCTCTTGTGCATCCTGTTGATTGATGCATAAGGCATCTATCCACAAGTACTGCATTCTCTGTTTGCGCAAGGTTACGAGTGCGGTATGGAGGTTTCGCGTTACTCGAAAGGGCGTACTGTTCGATTCCTGTCGCATTTCGGATTCATCGGTACGTGGACCACGTAGCGTTATCTCAACGGTATCCGTAACATCTCCCCAGCAATAGGACAGCGCAATGTAGGGGACATGTATGTCATCATCCGAGGTTTGATTGACATTAGTGCACACCAATTGGCATTCGATGGGGTCATCTCCGGATCCAGGCAGCAGCAGGACGCATCGTATCTCTCTAAGGTCGGGGTTCAAAGGCAGAAAGGCTCTTTCGTCATTCTCTACCCCACGAAATGGTAGGTATGCGCGATCTTGGGTTTGAATTGACGAAGACATTGGGGTGCAAGCGTTGGAGGTGTGTGAAGCATGAAGAGAATATGAGAGAAGAGGGGTAACGTTGACCACCGAGAAGGCTGAGAGTGAGTAGGCTGTGTAGACGCATGCAGGTGCAGGGAAGCTGAGCCAGCCTATCGCATCGATTGAGCCTCTACCCACCGCCCACTCCCATTCCACCAGCACTATATCCCTCCTACCACAAATCATAATCTAGGTAGCACCAGGAACATCCCAAATCTTGCCAAAAGGATCATGGTGCGCGTCCAACTCACGGTTGTACTCCAACGCCAAACTCAAGAAATGCGCAACCTCCTCGCCATACACGCGACTAACGAACGCATACGTTCCATCGATACCTGCAGAAACTCCACTGGTTGAGATAATATTGCCGTCTTCGACCCATCGCGCAGTCGGTACCCAGTCTACGTTGGGACCGGTTGATGTAGCCCAGGGCCAGGCAGCCTTGTTCGTAGTTGCCTTGCGGCCATCAAGAATGCCTGCGCGTGAGAGGATTGTTGCGCCGGTGCAGACGGAGACGATGTATTTGAGCTGTGGAATAGTCAGCTCATGCTTGGAAGTGACAGGGAGGAGGCGATACGTACATTTGGGTAAGTAGCCTTGACGAAGTTGATCTCTTCGGTCATATCTCTGCGAGTCCCTCCACCGCCCGGAACGAAGAGGACGTCAATTTCCCCCTTGTCTGTTGGAGAAGACCCATCCAAATAGCCTGAGAAAGTCATGGTTGGCATGATCTCTTGCCCAAAGCCTCCAGCCGTCATGGCCGACGTCACCGGATCCATGGTCTTGCTGAAGACAGTAAAATGCGGCACAATGGATGTGTTTCGGTAGTACATGAAGAGCGAGTTAAGGACGTCCATGGGGCCGAAGATGTCGAGAGCTTGGAAGTGTGGAAACGTGAGTAGACCGAAGTGAGTGGGTAGAGTTGTGGTGTTGGCGATCTCGGGTTGGCTCGGTCTTGCAAGAGTTGAGCGTATGGCTAACAGAGCCGGGAGCAGAATTGAGTATCGCATGTTTAGAGATTTGTAGTTGATAAATATTGAGGTGCAGAAGAGAGTGGACCAGAAGTAGCGAGTCAAAAGTAGGAGGAGATCTGAAGGGGCAACCAAGTGGGGACCCAAGTAGAAGAGAGGCCTTCAAACAAAGACCGCGGTGTACCTGCGGCTCTGAACTGGGTCTTCTGACTATTCGACGTTTCTATGAGGAATTCACTAGAGTTTTTATACTCATAATTTCGTTGAACATCTTAAAACCGAAATCTCCACATGGATGCCCGAAGCCGGCACTTTGGCTGCAGTGTAATCTAAGTCGCATGGTTGTATTGGTTCTAATGCACTCATAAGCCTCGCCGAGCAATGATTGAGGTACAGGAGGATCAGGCGGATGCGGAGATCACACAACTCCGATGTCGAGAACGAACAGCTTCGTAAGGCATCCAATGTTTGAGAAGATATGAGCGAGTTGCGAAGATTTCGACTTCACAAGGTTTAAGCGACTGGTGATCATCTTGACACTCCGCATCCACCGATGACTTGTATTGCCAGTCAGCTTTCAGTGTTCGCGAGGTGTCCAATAGCTTTGGCGAGCCGCCAGGGCGTAATAGATTGAGGATGAGCGGTCAGCCCTTTCGATAATTAATCAGGAATGTGGGGGATCATGGTATTGCAGCATGCCAAGAAAGCCGCTTCCAGGTCTTTGGATATATCATGTGCCTGTCCGCGACGCGCCTGCCGGATGATCGAGTAGGTGCCGCGATGCATGCATGTAGCTAGAGTTCTTTGGGCCAGCAATGTCGATGTGCGTCTAGCGCGGTCCCAGGTAGTCGCGCTCCAGCATGAGTCTATATTTCTTTTCGCGGACCGGCTTCAACGAGTGCATCCGGGTCCTGTGTCTGGATTCGCCAGCCTCCTCTGCCGACCGGCATGCACACCGTGCCTGTCGCACTTCCCAAGCTTCACCTGGCCTGTTCGCATCATGCGAACATGGCTTGATGTGCACCGAGATGAAAGCACGTCCTGGGATCTATGTTTGTGAAGTCGTTGGTTAGGTCAACGGGTTGTCGCAACAACGCAACGTACGTCAATCGGACCTGTCTAAACAAAAGACGAGGTCGACATGAAGATGTGAAGGAAACACTGATTAGTCAGATACGTGATCGAGAGACAGCATCGAGGATGTAGATCTCGCGCCAAGCCAGCGGGTTCCTGCGATAATGACGTAGCTTGAGCCGCGCGTGATCCCAGCTTGAAATCTGCACAGCGAACCGCATCTTTCAGCCTCCTGCATTCAAGAACCCCATCATCAAATCGCGCCTCTATAGAGTTATCTGACATTCTTGTGTAGCCCTGCGCGTTAGTGTCGACATAACCAGCAACAGCCCTGCGCCCCAATGCATGCGAAAGCTTGTTATAGCAATTCGGCCTCACAGAGGTAGTACATTCCGCGACGATGCCATCAACCCGGCCAGGCCTTGATGCGCGCAGGTCAACGCTTCGTAGGTAACATCCTATACGGAATAGATAGGAGACATATACTGACTGGTACATCCCCATGTAGATTACACGACCTTCCCAACTATCCCCCCTAAATCCCGCGGCCGACCACCATCTGACGCCCCGTCCGGTCAAGATGGTAACCGTTCCGAAGACGGCAGCCATACCCACCATGAAAAGCCCCTACCGACGAAGCAGCTCATCGTGCTAGCTGTCATAGCTCTCGCTGAGCAAACCGCGCTCAACTCAATAGGCCCTTATCTGCCTGAGATGACGAAATCGTTTTCCGCTGTCAAGGATGGACAGACAGGTCTATACGTCGGACTCATCGCGTCGTCTTTCGCGTTGGCACAATTCACAACAAATTTCTTTTGGGGCTGGCTGTCGGATAAGATCGGACGAAAGCCGGTAATAATCACGGGCACATTTTTGACCATGTGCTGTTTTCTGGCCTTTGGCTTCTGCAGGGAGCTATGGCAAGCTATACTCGTGCAGGCCCTGATGGGCTTGGTCAACGGAAACTCTGGCGTTGTGTCGACGTGTTTGGGCGAGATTACGGATCGAAGCAATCAATCGCGCGCATTTACCTATCTGCCCGTCGTCTACGGTATCGGTGGCATAACGGGACCGATCGTAGGAGGACTCTTGGTGCTTTATCAGAACCCGTTCAACAAGAGCCAGTCGAATCCCTACCCGTACCTCCTCCCGAACCTCTTTTCGGCCCTCGTCCTCGCGATAGACCTGATAGTGTGTATGCTCTTCTTGGAGGAGAGTTTGGAAGAAGCCAAGAATCTGCCACCTCTCGGAAAGAGACTGGGCAACTTGTTCTCATGGATGTGGCAGTTCTCGAGCTCCACGCGACCTACCTACGTACGACGCCTCCTAGGCAATCACAAAACCCACAACTCACACGGTGGTGTGGACGATGTAGACGAGGACGACGCATCCGACGCCTCTGAGGAATCTGCGCCTACACTATTCCCACACAGTAGCGGCGACGAACTTACACGGAAGGAGATTTTGAACCGGGACACAGTCCTGCTTCTCATAACGTACTTCATATTCCAGCTCGCTAACATCTCCTACAATTCTCTGTATCCGATCTTCGCAGAAGAGCAACCACCTACCGGACGCGGGCTGAAGCCTGAGGCTGTCGGACTATCTCTGTCATTCGCAGGCGCTATAACGATACTGTTCCAGGTGGGCATATTTGGCAGGCTTCGAGACAAGATGGGCAACAAGATGGGGTACAGAGTCAGCTTAGGGCTGTTCATTGCAGCCTTCGGTCTCATGCCGTTTGTGGGCTACAAAGAGAGCAACGGATACAAGGGCATTGGTACGGGTGCTGGGTGGTTGTGGTTTGAGCTCGGCGTTGTGCTGGTTATCAAAACGATTGCAGGTGTCGGTGGCCTGACAGCTGCACTCCTTATGGTAAGTTACTCTAATTCCAACATGACGCGCTCTACGGATGCTGACATTATGCAGATCACCAATTCCGCACCCAATCACAACGTGCTCGGTACGCTGAATGGCCTCGCTCAGACGCTCTCTGCTGCTGGTCGCGCTGCCGGACCCTTCGTGTCAGGTTCGCTTTTCACAGCAGCTACCAAGTTGAAGCCGAAAGGTGAAGCCCTGCCTTTTGGCATTTTCGCTGGTATCGCACTCCTCGGTTTCCTTTTGAGCTTCGGTATTCGTGGCGATGGACTGGAAGCCGAAGGGTGGAGCGAAGATGATAGCGAAGACGAAGATGAAGAGGAGGAGATTGGCGAGGGCGCGAATGAACGGACTGGTCTGATACGGAAGTGAAGACTTCATCGTACCTGCTGCATTTTACAGCATACTTGCATGGCTAAGGCCCCCCGAACCTTGTCTATCAGCGCGGCGTTCATATGGTGGATCTAGAAATCGTTTGCTGGATGTGGTTTCAGCCAATACAATATCAATATTCTCTGAACATCCGTTGTGACTGTTGCGGTGACTACAGGCAAACAACGTTTTCCAAGTCGGAGGACACATGACGATCTGTGAGATTTGTCCATGGGTGAGGCAAGCACGGTATGTCTACTTAATGGGGGTCAGGATGGCTGTATTTGCGGTTCCTCCCGTCTGCAAATAGCGGGCCTCATGTAAGCACATCAGGCGAGCTGTTAGAGATGGGGCGTGAGGTGCATGAGCATGCACCTCTGGATCACCGGGTACTACGTTCGGCCCAGTATTGCGAGCTTCTAAGGGTGAGCGGGGCGTGTAAGACCGGGAGCGAGGAGGAAGTGATATCTGCGCAAGGCTTGGTGAGGTTTGATGGTTGCCGGAAAGAGGTTGTGGATGCAAAAGGGCGCTGTAGAGGCAACGTAGAACGCCGAGCTGAGCGGCTGCGGACGGGTGATCGTGAGCTGCGTACGAGTGTTACTGCAGCACCTCTACCAATGCACGACAAAAAGATGCGTTTCAACTGCTGCAGCGATGACTTCGTCTTACGAAGAGGCTAGCTGGCGAGGCACCTCCGCCACAGACTCGACGCTGGACGCCTGCACCGCTAGCGGCCCGTCTACGGATCCCGAGGTCTCAGGGCTGAGCTGACTCTCCTATCTTCCACACCGTCTAATTCGACACACCAGCGCGCCAAGCCTCACGTGGAGGCAATGATTGGACCGACGTACGCTACAACCAGTACTCCAGCATCTGTGCTCTTCCGATTCACGATAGCGCTGTCAGCATTGTTGCGCTGGCTTGCTGCTGAGCCCGACCCGCGCAGGCTTGGTGGTGAAAGCTTCCTCCGGCTTAGCACGACCTAACCCGCCATGCGTGCTCCGCCAGCGACACCCGTGTAACGCGCCGCTATGCGGTGCTATTGGTACCGTTGCTAGCGGACTCAAGGCGGAACCGTACTTGCGGCCTGGGCCTCCAGCCCCAAGATAGAACATGCGCCATAGCTTGCGGGGCTATCTCGTGTCGCGTGTAGTATGCGAATTGGGATTTGCATAAGACTCACTGCGGCGCCGAAAGCAGCTCGTATTTGTCTTGGTAGTCTTGTCCGTCTGTCTTTGATTTAACCTCGCTGCTCCTTTCCTGACCGTTGGAGTTGAGTTGTGGTTGTTTCTCGTCGACTTTGTGGGAAATTGGCATCATGGGCTGGACTTTCCACGGCCACAAACGCGATGTTGATGCGGAAAAGCATCTTAGACGGCTGCACAAGACAACACCGTTTATCGAATCCCCGCTAGTTGGTGCCGATCACGAACACCTCGTCTTCTCTCAACGGCACGAAGCGAATAGCGTGGAACTTTTCTTCGATTTGTTCTTTGTTGCCAATCTTGCGACGTTTACGGCCTACCACTCTATTACCGACATCGATTATCTGCTGGCATACATCGGTTTCTTTGGCATACTATGGTCGTGTTGGTTCCAGATCACACTCCATGATGTACGATTTGCGCGGGACTCGCTCTATGAGCGTGTGTGCAAGACGATCCAATTCATCGTCTTTGTCGGTCTGGCGCTAGTCGGAAGCCAGTTCAACCCAGCGAGCGCGAAGGGTCAAGGGAACAACACTGTAAGTTTATTACTCACATTGAAGCAAAAGGTATACTAAGCCATGTAGAACTTCCGTATCCTATGCTACACCCTAGTCATAAGCCGTGGTCTTCTCGCCATCCAGTATCTTGTGGTACTCTTCTTCACTTGGAGAGCGAAGTATACCAAGATCTACCTCCCGATCATTCTTATGTTCGCCGTCTATGCGATCAGTATGGGTGCATTCGCTGGCATGACACCCGCCTTCAAGGTTGAGGGCGATCATCGTAGACGCCTAGTCTACCTTGTTTGGTACGTCGTCATGGTGCTTGAAGCCATCGCAGTCGTTGCTATATCGTGCTTCTGGCGCATGATGAGTTTCAAAAAGACCCACTTGATGGAGCGCATGAGCTTGTTGACAATCATCGTTATTGGCGAGGGTGCAATTGGTGTCACAAAGACAGTCAGCAGGATGATGGGGAAGCACGGATTGGAAGTTGAGGGATGCTTCTTAATCATGTGCATCATCGTTGTTCTTGTGTTGATTTGGGCTCTGTAAGTATATGCAGGTATGGAAGACATGACGCATGTGAGCTAACAGTACCCAGGTACTTCGACAACTTTCCCCACGGTCACTATGGAACCATTCGTCAGCAAATCTGGTCACTGCTACATTTTCCCTTTCAACTTGCTATTGTCGGTGTCGTGGAAGGCTCGCAGCAAGTTGCTCTGGCCCGCTACGTTGCTAAAAATACCAGGAAAGTTACTACTTCCATCCTCCAATACTGCCAAACGGATCATCTCGACGGCCAAAAACTACAAGACAAGCTGCAGTACCTTTTGGAGTATTTCGAGCTCGACAGCAAGTATGAGACCAAGAGCTTCTACAATCAAGCTCAGTCGGCCATCTGGAGTGTCGGTAACGCTACAAACATCTGCTCTCAGCAAAATACCACACAGTACAACATGGGCGAGGAAGATGACGACTGGCCCGGAGCACTCAAGAACGTATCTCACCTTCTCAACAACGGCCTATACACTGGTCTCGGCATGAAGATCCCAGTCGACAAACTCAAGGACTACAGCCCCCTCGAAGTCGGTCTCAAAGGATTTGAGCTCGTCTATCTCTACTTCTGGTCGTCGTTCTGCCTCCTTCTCGTCTGTCTGATCATATTTCTTTTGTTAATTCGCCGTCACAAGGCCGACCTCTTCGACTTCACGTCCATCATATCCCGCAGTCTTACCCTCGGCGTTGGGGGCGCAATGTTGGCTCTGATGGCCGACACCGAGCGATTACATGCCGTCATTGAGTCACCTGCGCTCCTACCAATTTGCGTTGTATTCCTCTTCCTCGTCCTAGTCAGCGACAAGCTAAGCTCAATCTACTGCAACTGGAAACTCCAAAAGAGCGGGAAGCCATATGCGTTGGAGTACGAAGAGCCCGGACACCACGGACACGGACAGAGTCCTCAGGGATCCGTGCACGAGACGGGTGCGGCACACGGGCATGTGCCGCACGACGCGGGGTTGGAAGAGATGCGCAATACGGCACGGTGGAGCACACGACCCGAAGACATGGTGCCACTCACGGCACAAAGCACAGAATATCACTCGCGGCCCCAAAGCTACGCTATGGAGCCGCTTGCTACTCCGCCGATAACAAGCCCCCCGATGTCAAGCCACGATCCGCTGGCCCCCCAGGGATATATGGGTCACGCGCCAGCCGGATATGCAGCCGTGAGTACGGGACAAAACTACGGTGCGTAGGTTGTTATCGAGAACGGTGTGGTTCTAGATCTTCTTGTAATTTTCTGGTCATTTAGCAAGCGCGGCGTTGTCGTTTTGGAGAAGCGTCATTTGCACATCCGATATCCGGGGGACGGATGCGTCACAAAGATGGACATGGTGATATGGCGTTACCTGTTACAGCGTAATAATGAACTTTGCCACGGCGGGTTCAATAGCATTGAATGAAAAGCCTTTCAACCCTTACATAGCCCTAGTCACGGTGATCCCGAACGACGCTAAATCGACGGAACGAGATGTGTGGCGTAACGTCGACGCCTCACAAAGACGACTGACGTCGCTGCATCTTCAAATGTTTGCAAAATCCGCTCTTCATACTGACTGTTATGTCACGGTGGTGCGCGGTGCGTCGTTGTCGTTGAGGTGGCACAATCGTGTTGTATCGGCCCCGAACATAGTGACCGCGTGGCCAACAAACTGCAACACCAACATCCAACTGTATGTGTCATTCCTCACTCTTGTTATTTCCCGAGTAGTACCGCGGCAAGACCCCCACTATCTACCAGGAGTCATGGCTGATAAGAACCCACTAGTAGTAGCAGTGCAGACTGAGCTTGTGACGACTCACATAGCTGCACCCCCAGCATATCCATACGCTTTTCGCCGTGCCTATATCTGCGGTCATCCTGACGAGTTCGTTCAAGTCTCAAAGCCAGCTGACCAGAAGGGAGTCTTACGTACAGTCATAGATCCAAACCAAGTCGAGGGACAGAGTAAAGACTGGCCCATATACACGCTGGTACGGTGCCGACCGTGCGCAATCAGATTACGTGAAGAGCATTGCAAGATGCAAGAGAGCGGTAAAGGAGAAAGAGTGAGATCCGTAGCGGTCTACCAAGGAGAGACGATGCGTCCCGATCGAGGGCTGCTCAGTGAGGCTAGATCAGGGTTCGAAGCTGCATTGAAAGAATTGGAACGTATCAGTTGTTGTGGAGGAGAAGAGGAGGAACAATGGCCATTGATGAATGAGATCGTCGGTAACGACGATGACTCTATCAGAGTGGTGAGGTTTCTTGATGGTCGTCGCAAGGTCGACTCGCCGGCATCTTCGCCTTCGCCGTTTGTCCATACTTTCGGCGACATGTGGCCTCTTCGGGGAGGTGGCGATGGTGAAGATATTGGCTGCTGGGCGAATTGCGAATCCTGTGGCGGAGGTCGTCGACGAAAAGATAGTGCTTTAGAGGTCCACCAGAATACCACGCCGAAGTCTAAGAGCGACAAGTGCACCGGCACGGAAACAGGAAAGCAACATGAATACCTCCAAGACCTTCATCTCGATGCTCCACGCACGCCAATGGTGGTCACCCTCGGCCCGACAAGCGACTTGGACTGGCTCAGGTTCTCCTACCTGCTCCGCAATAAGAACCTGAGCTTCGACGACATTGCAGAGCTTGTGTCGCGATATGTGCCCGATGATGGCGATCTCCCGGAAAACGATGTCACGCAAGAAGAGGTTACAGCTGTCGGGGAATCGGACGCGCGCAATAGTACATGGCGAGTTTCTGTACGTCGATCGGGGGTGGTTGAATGGGACGTGTCGACCCTTGGGAAAGAAGGGCATGCATCAACAACGAGCGGCGGTGGAAACGACAGAGTCCAGTCCAGTGAGCCAAGCTGCGGAGCGGAACTTCTTAAGACCAACGGCATAGACGTCTGCCACCACGGTCCACCTCAGCCTCCAAATCCTCCAGAGGCTGTGAGGATCGATGGAACGACGGAGCAATCAGCCAGACAGGATGATGTCGAAGATCTAGACCAGTCTGATGATCGACGTTCCAGCGAAGACCATGAGATATCCCGATCATGTTTCTCATCCGATTCATCAGCTGACTCAGTCGACTTTTCGAAAGCGGAAATCGGCATGCAGGTGACTAGGATGAGACCTACCATGTTATCCTGGCTGAGGCCAAAGAGAAAATATGACAGCCTCCAAGAAAACACACGACCAAACTCACCAGGTCCTAAGGAATCCTCTGTAGGCCTCTGGAAGCGAATCAGCAGAACAACATCCCACTCCACAATGAACACCACTCTGGTGGGGAAGTTTGACCAGAAATTGCAAGCCAAACTCTCCAATGCCAAGTTGCGAGCTTCTGGCGCGAGCCAGATACCAGCCAACGAATGCCATCCTGCGTTCAGGGAACAAGCCGACGCGTCAAATGCCCAACCAGATCTGTCCACCTCAGCTCACATCCTCAACGCCATGCGGACTCTCAACAGCCATCGCGCAAGCCAAAGCGTGCCTAGCGACACCAAGCCCCAAAGAGGGAGTCACAACTCTAGCTTCAGCAGACCCAGGCCTTGCAGCACTCACTCCACCAACATCATGCCATATGGTTTCCACCGGCCGTACAGGCCTAGCCCATTGAAGCACGTAACGCGTGTCACATCGCTGGATGTGAACAAAGGACTTCCGCCCCTGCCCCCGGAAGCGCGACGGCTGGCGCACCAAGCTTCACACGCGAGGTTGAAGGACCTGCAGGCTGTGAAGAAGGTGGATATTCGGAAGGCGATCAATGAGTATGTAGGTGAGATGGCGAAGGCGTATTGAATGATACAATCGTTACTTTCCCTCTGTTGGTGTTGCTTGGTTCGCGTGCTTGCCTCGTGCACTGCTTGCGTATGCTCGGCGATATCGGAGATCGAAGCTCGGAGTTATGCTTATCAGATCGCCCCATAGCAAGCTTCTGCGAGCTGGCTGAATGCTCATCCACCACCCCGCCTCGATGCCATCCAATGACTGCTCAATGCTCTTCAGGCAGATGCATTATGAGATGCGAGTGACATCTGGCATGCCCGACTGAACCGACATGATCTCTCTATAAAGACGCGTCAATCCGCGCGTCCAGAGCGCGCAACTAACCAGCAACTAACTTCAATCATACCTGAAGCTCTAACACGATCACCACCATGCCGCTGCCAGGTCAATCCCACGAGAAAGACCCTCGATGGACAGCCGTAGACACTTACTCGTTCGGCCACCTCCACCCCTCCACGCGCACAACCCCCTCCCAATCCGCCCTCCAACACGCCCTTGACGCCTCCCAGCAAGCAGGCCTGCCAGACATCGCCGTGTCGCCCTCCCAAGGCAAATACCTCCAACTCACCGCACGCCTCGCACGTTCCAAAAACATCCTCGAAGTAGGCACATTGGGCGGATACAGCACCATCTGGCTCGCAACATCCAGCCCCAACGTGAGCGTAACGAGCGTCGAAGTTGATAGCCACCACGCCGATGTCGCACGGTCGAATATCCAGACTGCGGGCTTGGGAGATAAAGTAGACATCATGCTGGGACCTGGTATGGACATTCTCCCTTCTCTGGCACAGCAGGTTAAAGACGGCAAGAGGCCGAAATTCGACTTCGTCTTCATCGACGCGGATAAGGAGAATAACTGGAACTATGTGGATATAGTGCTGGGTATGTGTGAGGCGGGTGCGTGTGTTATTGTAGATAATGTGGTGCGGAAGGGGCAGTTAGCGGAAGAGACGGATGATCCGAGGATTGCGGGGGCGAAGAGGGTGGTGGAGAATGTGGGGAAGGATGAGAGGCTGGATGGTGTGGTGCTGCAGACGGTGGGGGAGAAGTCCTACGATGGGTTCTTGCTTGCTGTTGTGAAGTAGAGGGAGAGGTGAGGCCTGGAGTCTGCAGCATACATTATCATTATTCTTTCCACTATTGACGACTTATCTCTTCCTTATCAAGGCCTTTACTAGGGTATCTCCTCCACCCTCCACTGCCACCGAACTCGTCATCGCAGTACTGCGTTTAGATCAACTCTCTAGGTCTTCAGGATACTAGCAGCCACCAAAATCGCATCACTAGTCTTCTGCACCCACTCCTGCGCCAACTCCGCATCCTGATCAAACGTGATGCTTTCCGTGATACCCGGGAACGTTACAGGCGCGTATCCAGTATCGCGCCCAGGAGCGAAGATAGTATGCTGGTAGAACTCTCTGGTGGGCAGTCCACCCTGCGAAGTGAAGCCCCGGGAGAAGTCCCTCGCCTTGTGGTTCTGCACAGTGATGAGCTCCGTGTCATTCGCAGCAACAGCTTGATCTCTCAGATCGACAAACTCCTGGGCAGAGGTTTCGAATTGAGTGATAGCGGCAGTGAGGTTTGTAAGGTCAACGGTGAAGTTGCTGCTGCTGATGTCCGTCTCGAGAGCTTCAAGGTAAGTGTTCAGCTCTGAGACGTAGTCTGCTGGCTCGAGGGGCAGGACGGGATCGGACACCATGTGGTACAAGAGGAGAGTGAGGAACTGGCCCATCGCCTTGTGGGTGACGAAGCCAGGGTCTCCAAACGTGGCCATCCAGTGGTAGGAGTCGTAGTTGCTGTGGTAAGGGTAAACGGGATCATTTGGACCTAGAGATGGGTGTATGAAGTCAGTACCTGTCTCATATACGGTTCGTACAGAATTATCACTGACCTCCGCCAGCGCCCATATCGATGGATGCGATACCACGGTGGAGGAAAGCGGTATAGTCACTACCACTGCCGAGTACACCGACTTCACCGCTTTCGTGCGACCAGACATCGTACATGGTGAGACCGGTGTCGTTGCGGTAGGGGTACACGACCTTCTTCATCAGGCTGGTGGCGATGGCGTGTAGATCTGGGGTTGCGGAAACGTCTGGGATTGGTCCACTGACAGCGACGTCGATGTTGAGGTAGGACACTGCGGCGTTCTTCAGCCAAGGGATGTACTCCTCCATCCACTCAGTACTATGAGTATTTAGTATCCTGGTTGTTCATGTGATTTTCTAGTCTTACCTTCCAACAAGACCATACTCTTCGGCGTCCCAACTGCAGAGAACGATTGTTCGCATTGGCTTCCAACCTGTCTCGGCAAGAGCACCGAATGCCTTGGCAAGTTCGATGAGTACAGCGGATCCGGAGTTGGGGTCAGCAGCACCGCCAACAATCCAAGCGTCACGATGGTTGCCCACAATGACGACCTCGTCTTGGTTCGTACCGTTGATGATACCAACTGCGTTCCAGATGGTGCCATAGGTGTCGTTCATTACATTGCTCATTGAAAGCGATGCGCCGGATCCCTCGCCAGTGAAGTAGTCTACGCCGGGTATAGCACCAACCCAACGCGTCCTGTTGACCTCAGTACCGTTGGTTCCAAAGCCGTTGAGGGCTTGGAGAAGCGGCTGGGCCTCAATCCAGGAAATAGGCAATGACGGAATTTGCGGGGTGATGTCGGTGCGATCTGCGCGTGGGGAGTCTGGCTTGGAGACGTAACCTGGAGTAGTTGGGTCGCCGGGATACGTAGACAAGAACTGGACAGATCCGCGTTGAACGGTTGAAGGGTTCCTCGCTCCGCCGTAGGGGTATGGAGCCACTCCCTTCGCTGAAAATTGTTAATGATTAGTTCTGCGAAGAGGTCAAACAAGCTCACCTTCGGTCATGTTGCCGTCATCACCAGGGTCGGTGAAGATCACAGCACCGATCATGCCGTGATCCTGTGCATTCTTGACTTTCAGCCCACGGAATGGTCCACCGTACTTTGCTAGAGCGATCTTGCCCTCAAGTTCGACACCAAGAGCTTCGAGGCGGTCAAAGTCGACCTGCTGGCCTCTTCCGACGTAAACGTATTCTGCAGATGCGTTGCCCGTGAAGCTGTAGCCATGGAAGACGGGAACACTGTTGGGATAGCTGGTGGTCTCGTCCTCTTCCAGTACATCTTCCAAAAGGGTCGGAGTGTAAGTACTACCGTTGGAATAGGTAAGCTGTAGCGAGTTTGATACAGGATAATTGAGGAAGACATCTGCGTCTCGTTAGTGCCTACCGCAACGACCATCATCAGTTTCATACAGTATTCGTCGAGCCTTGACGTGAAGCCATATTCAGACCATTTGTCAGCCGTCCACTGTGCTGTGTCAAGGATTAGTTGCATGTCGGATCGCCCCGGAAAGGCTTCAAATACCCATTGACTCGTTCTGACCCGCCAAATGCTGGCCATGAGCTACACTGTGTTAGCATACACTTTGTATCGAGCCCGAGAGCCATACTGTAGTAGTATGACCATTCCGATATCGAGACGGAATCGAACGAGTTCAGCAAGATCTCTTCGTTGGGCGTCAAGGCTGGAGGGAAGACGGATTGTCTCTTGACATGCTTATGCGGGTGATGGAAGAATGCACGTTCACGCTGACAGGCTTGAGCGCCAATGGCAGCGAGCGCTAGAAGTGCTGTTCTCATATTGACTGACAAATGCACACTTCACAGAGGCAGAAGGGTACCGAACAACGATAGGTTGCATGGTACTTTAAGTACTTGCAGGCAGTTCCGTCGGCGTTCGGTACGATAACGTCAAGGCTTCCATTCCGAGGATAGCTGCTTCTACTGAGAGCAGGTGAACCTGGCGAGTTCCCTGCTCTCTCGTGCCATCGTATCCCGACATGCGGGTAGCTGTAGCTGAACGCAGGCACTGCGTAACCGCGAGGTATACAGGCAATTGGCTAACGCACTCCGGAAGGTCGAAGAGATATGAACGCGGGGCGGAGCATTAAGGTGCTTGGCAGAGAGCAATGACGATATAGGTGGTGGGGTAGCTTCTGAAATGAGGAAGAGATGCCGCTTCGATGCACGTATCTTCTGCGGTCAAAATCTGACAGTCAGATAGCAGATCGGAAAAGCGCGCATACCGACGCCGCCGTTCCGTGCACGTCGCCAGAGGCTGACCCGAAAGCCGTCCGAAGAAAAGTAACGGTGGTGGAAAGTATAATATGGTTCTGCGTAGACGGCACAGAGCAGAGAATGGCCGGTTGAAGTTGAATGCGGGGGAGTGCGGAGACGCGTGATGGGCGCGTCCTTATTCCGCGGTGCACTTGGCAGCGTAGAAGATACAGAACTAGGAGATCAGGGACGATGAGCGGAGCATCGCGCTTAAGTATTTTCTGCGGTCCATCAAGGTACCATATTGATGCGATAACACCTGGGCACGCAATGTTGGTGAGGGCGCAGGAGTCGAGTCCGAAAGTGATCTACGGCTAGCACGCTTTTGGGCTTAGTCATATCGAAAGGCGGGTGAACCAATGCAAGAGTGCACGGCGCAAGATGTTCGGCGAAGACTGCGTCAGTCAATAAACATTGGGCTGCCGGCAGCGCAAACACGGCGGCAACAGGAAGGAGACAAAGGACACGATTTACTGACCGTCGCATTGATAGCGACAAAGCCAGCTGCACCTTCTCTGTCTGAGACTCGTCTCCTTTGTACCTTCCTTGTCACCAGTCGCTCTTTCAACTTTTGCCAACCGCCATCATGGACGTCTTTCGGTCGCCTATGCGCATGATCCCGCCCCTCACACCCCGTCGCGTCCCATCACCAGCCATGTCACCCGCCGGCAGACGAGGCAGAACCTATGGCAGCTCGGAAGAGACCCGCCTCCGCGACCTGTCGCCCGAGACGACCCTCCGCGCCTTCACACAAAAGCCGATGCCGTTCGACACAACACGCGACGAATACAAAATGTTTTCCTGCATCGAGACTCTCACCGCCGCCGAGAGGGACTTGGGATCGCGCGTCGCAAAGGCGGCGC